GCTACCATGGGTATATCCGAGCAGAGGTTCTAGGTTATATCTATACATGGTCCTTGGTGGAGTATCAGTCTCAGAAAAGACCCCTGTGCCCAGATATATTTGGTCCTTGTGGAGCCATTCTTAATTGATAACTAGAGATATAGCCACTCTACACTAAATGGAGAAAAAAAAAAGAGAAAGATGGTTAAGATGAACTTAACCATGGAAAATTGTCAATGATAGTTATAATTGCCCCCCTACTAAAAGTTTAAGTACATAGCCACATTAGACAGTCATGATGAAGATATTGCTATGGGCAATACTCAGCAAATGTGAGTGCCATGTGGACATAAACTCATGAGTATGAAGCATGTGGAAAGCTTTTTAAACTTATTAATATTTGGCCTATAATATACAATCAAAGATTGAAAAATTTAAAAAAAATTAGTAGAAGCAATAATAAAAGAAATGAGAACTACAAAAAAGTAAGTTGGTGAATCCAAATGAGAGAGGTAATGATGTTTGAATTATTTCTTGGTCAAAACTGTGAAAAAAAAATGATGTAAATCTTTCAGTGTCCCTGCAGGGTAATTACAGAGAAAATCTGAAACAAGTATGTCTCTAAAATAAATAGCTAGAATTGGAAAGTGCTTAATATAATTATAAATACTTTACGCTGCAATGAAGCATCGCTCCATTTAAATTACATAAGAGCAAAGTCTCCCATTTTTCAGCAGTCTTTTAAAAAAAATCCTTGAAAAAATACTAGTTTTCATTTATTTATTTATTTATTTATTTATTTATTTACTTACTTTTTTTTTTTTGTATTTCACATTAAGAAGTTGGCCATCCTTTTGCTCTTCTTGATTATGATGTTTTTGTCGTTTCTTTCACTGAATGCCAAATTCATGGATTGAAATATTAGTTCATTCAAAAAAGAAAGTTGAAACATGAACCACTTAGAAGGTTCCAGAACATAGTAGAGTAGGTGGTTTTTAAAAGGTTTTTTTTAATAACTGAATTGTCTGCCACTACGTTCAGGCACATACCTCAAACATGAGAGCCTCTCCCTGGGCTTAGTGAGTTCTAGGTCCTTATGGCCACCTGAGGTAGCAGGTTTGATTCATAACAGTCTCAGAAGATTTTGTTGATGGACTATGCTACATTCAAATGAGTAGGCACTGCTCTGGTCGTCCGAGTAGCAAAACTCCCTTTTACTTTGACGTTTCCATGAAAGACTGGAGCAACTCATTCTGATTTTACAGCAGTCTCTCCTGGCTGAACTGAAATCCTGGAACCTGTCTCTCTGGTGCTTAATCGCAGCATACTTATCACAACATACTGAACAGATTCTCCGCTTGTGGCGACCGTTGGTTCATAGTCACACACACAGGCATAACTTGTGCAGCACTGGCCTGAAAATATATCACTGACGCAAAATATAGTGTTCATATGTCAGCATTCTAGGACCCTATGGGTACATCACCACACACAGAGACTGTGACAATAGGCTTGATGTCTCACTTAGATAAAACGTAATGTGACTCTGTAGGCATGGCATACCGGTATCCTTCAGATCTTGAACTTGAGGTAAAAGTCAGAACTGCACAGTCAAGACGTCCTTGCAACAGACGTTCTAGACGTCGGAAGCCATCGGGAGGGCTGGGCTCCGTTTCCAGCTCTCCGCTCATTGCCTCGGGGACCTTGATCCCTGTCACTGACCTCTGTGGGCCTTGGCATCTCTGCTCAGAAGAATATGTCTGTTACCTCCTACTTAAACATAAGGTTGTGAATTGTATTTATTTACTTTATGTACCATCCCACGAAGATCTGAAGCGCCACACATACACTTCAGTATCAAGGCTCTCTGTGGGAGCTGTGCAGATCTCTAAAAGACAAATATCCACCCATCACTTTCGAAAGTTGAGCCATCACCATACAAGAAGAAACGGAAAAGGAGCTCCTGAACAGGCATTTCGGACTTCCAGGTTGAAGAATCAAAACTACTTAAATGTGTGGCCAGGCTGCCTAGAGATGTCAAATTAAATGAAGCAGTGGGAAACTATCTAAAGACGTTTTGGAAGACAGTTTCCAACTACAAAGAAAGTGTCCCATACGCACACTTCCTGCCTGTTACTAGGAAAATGCATACGTAATAATGGTGGCTCTTGAGGAGGAAGCAACTCTTCTCACTGAATTTGTGGTTTGTTTATTACAACAAACATGTTCAAACACTCGAGAAAGAGTAGGGCTTACAGGTGCGCGCTGTTTGCTCTTATCACAAAGCTAATGCTTTTGTTGCCGTTTAGGGCGGATGGCTAACACCTCCGTAATTTAGAAGGTTTGAGGGACCACAGTCTCTGCGGTCTCTGCGCTCCTTCCTCCAAATCCTTTCATTTCCTGTGCCACCGGCCTTCCTCTTCTAAGCATGCTTATCTGCCCTCTCCATCTAAAGCCTCCAGGAAGATCCCTCTGACGTGGCCTAATAGCTTTTATCAGCTCACGCGGTGTTTCTTATGCTTGGATACTTGTAACCAGGACTTAACCACGTGGTGGCCTGCCCTGATCAGGTCAGCTGCTCGCCTCTGTAAATGAAGCTATTTATGCCAAGGCAACCACCAAATCTGCTCCGCCCCTTTCCCTTCCCTGAAAGTGGACAGGAACCCGAGGACAGTCGGCAATGCCAGCGGTTCTGCAGCCAGTGTCTCTGATGCCCAGGGCTTTATTTGATCTAATTAGAGAGAGTCACGATACATTTTCCTCCGCTCTCTCACTCTTTGTACTCTTCTTTCAGGTTCTTGAGGCTGCCCCTCCCACGGCTGTGTGAGACCGTCCACCCTTCAGGGTGGAAATGCCCTGATTTCAGGTTGGGCCATGCTCACAGCTGAATTATGGCGTCCACTTACCAGCTGGGTATACTCATACTCGGACAGTTACTTAAACTCCCAAGACTCCATTCCTTCCTAAAAAAACACAGTGCTGATTTTCCCCCCTCACAGGAAATTCCAAAGATTTTTTTTTTTTTTTTTTTTTTTTTTTAAAGGCGGCTATGTAAAGTGCTTATCTGAACATCGGGGCCAGAGGCAGCCCACTGCTGCTATGAGTGTTAGTGGCGAGCCGAGCAAGAAGAGCTAACTTAGAAGCCTGGGTTAGCTAAGCCTGCACGCTGCTAAGATGGATGCTCAAAGTCCCACTGGGAAAAGGGTCCAGGCAGTGGGGCTGGCTTCAAGGAACAAGGCTAAGAGGCTCAGTTCTGTGCTGGAGGACCACAGTCCCAAATTTCAGATGCATTCCTCTGTTATTTTCAGCATGACCCTCCTCCTTTTCTTGCACACGGTAGTCAGCTTGGTTTTTATTAATCTAAACTTGACACACCTTAACCATGTGCTTGGAAGGGATGGGGGGGGTCTGTTTCCCCCCTTCTCTGTATCTCCATCTTTCTTGATGGAAAATGTGGCTGCTGTACAAGCTTAAAAGACCCCTAAGCTCAAAGTAATTCAGTGACTGGCTGAGAAGGAGAACACACACCTCATCTTTCCCTGCTCGCCTCTTTGCATTGTCATCCAGGCTTTCAGAGAACTAGAGTTCATCTTTAATTGCCTCGCCACCTCGTAGTTCAGTGGCTCAGTGATTTTTTTTTTTCTTTTGATTTAAATTTAGCACATATCAATTACAGCTAGCAAGGTCTGTTCCGGGGCTTACAGGAAATTCCACAGGACCCTCTTCACGCTGGGGATGGAGAACATCTGCAGCTCTCATGTTCAGGTGCCAGGATTTAGAGGTCGAGGCTGAAGGCTTTGGGGATCAGGGCAAGTGTCAGGCTGCAAGCAGCCTAATGAATGGCAGTTGCTGACTAGCTGGTTCTGCCCGTTCTCAGCAGGGGATGTCACCATTCAGTATAATGAGCCGGGACTCAGTGTTTTGAACACATCTAGCCAGTGAGGCTGGCCATGCCTTTCCCCTCCTGGTTCTGCACTGCATTGTCGTGTTGGAAGAAATTATCTCTGAGGTCTTCATTAGTGGCACCCTGCAGGGAAGCCTCTATGAGGGCTGATAAGCAGAATAGCTGAAAATAAATAAATTAATAAAATGGCCTGCTTTTGTGCAGGGAGTTGAAGGTTTAAGTTGCCTGAACAGAAAGGGTCTGAAGAGGCGATTATGTTAAGCAAGTAATGTGTATCGGTAACATGGAATCAAATTATGAGGGTCAGTAGCTTCCTGGCTTCCCCACTGCATTAAATGAAGACATAATGTTGCATTTGTGCCGGGTACTTCTTGAGGCCACACAGTGTCAGCACTGTCCAGTCGTCTATACTTCACAGCGTGTCACCTCTAATTTCATGGGATTATCTGCACGGCTGCTTTATTAGCTGCTCGTGATCTTGAGAGTCCTTTGAACTCACAGCAGGGCCCGGCAGAGTCATTGCTGTGGACGCTTCTCTAACGTACAAAGTTCTTATTGCCACCATCTTTACGAAGATAGATACGGCTCACTCGCTCGCTTCCAAGCCTCTTCACTTACTTGTTTGTACCCCGAGCCGCCTAAGGGGAGAACACTGAGTGTGAAAGATGCTTTGGAGGGCTCCGTTTAAAAAGCTGTCAGCGCAGGGGATTAATAGTGGAACAGTTCATGGTCCTCAGGTCAAGAGCATCAGGATCACTTAAGAGTGATGCTGATCCCATTAAATCAGAAACATAGGGCTGGGCTCGGCGGCCTGTGCTGTAACAAGCCTTCCAGGTGGCTGTGAGGTTAAGATGGCAGTGACATTCGTGCCGTAAAGAATGGGGCAGACCTACATATCTGGGAGATAAAACCATAGATAGGTTGTACAGAACACCTGCCCCCATGGATCGCATTAAGTTGCAAAAGGTACTTTGTTCTGATAAAATGTTCTTTCATATGCCAGCAGAGCCTTCAATCATGGCCCATGCCAGGACAGCCATCCCTGGAATTAGTCTTCTGTTCCTTTGGTAGCAGAGAATGCGTCATGACCCATAAGTGATGTCTTTGTGTATTTCAGAAACATCCCCCTTGCAATCTGCATTTCCATGGCCATCATCACAGTTGGCTATGTGCTAACAAACGTGGCCTATTTTACAACCATTAGTGCCGAGGAGCTGTTGCAGTCCAGCGCTGTGGCGGTGGTAAGTCGACGTGATAATCATGCCAGTTTGAATTTGGGTTAATGAGGCAGCTTTATCGTGGTTCCCTCCAGGACAAAGTGTTTTGAAGTTCGTCATCTTTCCTTGACCCGAATGATAATATTTTGAAAATATTTGGAGCACACCTCATGTAGCATATGTGATTCGACACAGCTAACCTCTGCTGTGGGTTCTCTTTGTTATTTTTTTTAAATCTCCTTGAAAACGTTTTCACATAAAGCTGCCGAAAACTCCATCAGGGCTTCCTTAGAAGGAGGAAATGTTTTCCGAACAGGTTTGTAAGGACAGGTGGACAGTTGCTGAATGTAGATAAATTCAGGTTTTGATGCAAAGCATAACCCATTCTTCTAATTTCTGCTTATAAACTTTTCAAATGTCTACTTGAAGCCTCTCTCCAATGTATCATTCTAGAAGTTGCATGAGGGCCACGTCTATTTATCTATTTCTAGCATAACCTTGGAATAGTAGTGTTGGGGTATTCATAAATTTGGGAACAACTCTGCGATGAAATGTGAAAGAGCTGTTACTGAAGATGCTGGTGTCCATTGTGTCTCCCTAAGAAGCATATACATATAATTCCAAAACACTTGTCCAAAATTACTTGATACCAGGACCATATTTGTTTCCAAAGATCCTGTTATGAGATTGCTTTTCTGTAACATTTACTTCTATTTGCTCAAACACTTTAGCTTGTAAGAAAAAAAAAAAAATCACTCACTTACTCAAAGTCGGGAAGGGTGAAAAATTAAAAACATCCAGCGACATTCCCATCCACGAATGTCAATTCCCTTTAACATAGTCTCACTTCCTATCAGCAACACCCAGAGGGGATGATTATCTCATTTTGGGCGAACCAGTGTATGAGTTCACCCTATGAAAAGGGCTTTGTCCACTGCGGTGCTATCAGGCAGTGAGACAGACGGACAAAGCTTCCGGGTGTCTGGTCAGTTGCCTCACCTTTTTAGGCAAAGGACAGCACTAATTTTTCAGAGTGGATAATGGGGTCTGTTAATTGCATAGCACCAGCTGCAAGGACGATGAAAGAAATCCTGCACTGAAAAAAAAAAAAAAAAAAAAAAAAAAAGCATCTTTCACAGAAATGTGCAGGGCTGCACACGTGACAGCCTGGAAGGAAATCTCAGAACTTTGTCTACCTTTTATGTTTTCTGTCACTCGTCAGGATCAGAATTGTGTTCTAGCTTTTCACAGGAAACCCTGGAAGGAAATGACGGTTTCCTCGGGCGGGGGAGGACGGACTCCATAAACGGGTTCAGCTGGTCTGACTCTACCGAGGGGAAACTCCTTCCGACTGGCTCATCCCTACGACATAAATGCTCAACTTGTCTATTGTCTTGATTTATCCTCTAGCACCAGGGTTGGTGTGTGAAACAAGCACCTGTAACTCTCGTGAATGTGTATCTACACCTCATCATACAAAGGTGCCCAAAGGGCAGGCATTGTGCAGAACAGTCTCTGTCTCTAAAAGCAGAATTTCCGAATTCAGCGTCTTCCTCTGATCAGTCAGAGGCGATAGTTGATAAAGAGTCAGTAAATGGGTCATTGCTTTGAAGGGAGGGAGAAGGCGATTGTTTAGACCTTTGCCACAGGTCTGAGACAAGCAATGCCACGGTACCCGCTTCTGATGATTGTCTGTGGAGTCAGTTTGACCCTAACCAAAAAGAAAGATTATAAAACATTCACGTAGCACCAGGCTAATAAAAAGTCAAAGAGCAAGTTTGGCCTAAATTGTTTCATTTTATTCCACTCTCTGGGAAAGTATTAATTTGCTGGTTCTTTCTTTCCTCAGACCTTCGCTGAGCGGCTGCTGGGAAATTTCTCATTAGCAGTCCCGATCTTTGTTGCCCTCTCCTGCTTCGGCTCCATGAACGGTGGCGTGTTCGCTGTCTCCAGGTGAGCGAGTTCATGTATTTTCAGAAACACATTTCTGTTTTAGAGATTGGATGTGATAAGGATAACTTTTAAAGAGAAAAGCAATAGTGCCTCCGAACCTGTTGTTTTTAAAGAGATATGCAAGTTTGTCCGTAGATTCCAGTGAAGTATGTTTGATTCTTTCCAGTAGAGGGCGCTGCGCGTCTACGCATAGCTCACTCCGAGCAGGGCATGCGGCATTTTTTTTAAGAGTCTGTCTACAGGGTCTAATAACAGCCTTTATTTCTAGCGAAAAAGTCGTTTGTTTTTCTGAAGAGTAAAATAGAAAGCAGAAATCGCCACCCCCCAACCTGTCACCGTTTTGCCATATTTGATGCTACATTAATCTCTTTCGTCTCCTTGTTACAATGTAAATAATTTACTGATAAATGTGGACACTACGTGTGTACACGTGTGTGCAATGCATGTGTGCTAGCTTGAATTGACACTAGCAATTTAGAACGGAATTTGCCCCCAGCTACTGTTATAGCAAGAGCTCCGCTCAGTGCGATATTGCTATTGGTTTTCCTCAAAGTATTCATTGCAAGATAGGTCCCGGACACTGTATGTCCTGAAATGAGACTTATCGTTAACTCTGCCCTTTGTCTTCAGAGCACAGGACCCGTGGCCAGCTAAGAAATACCAGTACGCCTTGTGTGGGAAAGAGGCATGCATGTGGCTTTGGGGATTTGAATTTTTCCCATTTGAATGATTGATTGCATAGTCAGCTCCACCGTTTTTTTTTGTTTTTTTTTTGTTTTTTTTTCTCCCCCCAGGTTATTCTATGTTGCATCTCGAGAAGGGCACCTTCCGGAAATCCTCTCCATGATTCATGTCCACAAGCACACTCCTCTGCCAGCTGTTATTGTTTTGGTAATGCATGTTCACAGATAGATGTGGATATAACCTCAGCAAATGGTTGGGAAAGAGGGATTCGAACAGACATCCTGACTCGCCACTCAGTTGGTGTGCGGTCTGTCATGCTTGGGGGGGGGCAGAGCCTTTCGCCACGGCTCGCTTTGACTGTGCACTTGTGATGTGCATAGGATGTAGGATGCCCCACCTCTCTTCTCTTTCACCTTTGCGGAGATTTGGAAGGTGGAGAGGCAAAGAAGTGCCATGGTTTCTCTCCTTGGCAGAGAACCTCAAAGGAAAGGAAAGGAAAGAAAAAAAAAAAAACCCACAAGGACACAATCTAAAGTACTGACTCAGAGTTCAGCTGAAATCAGACTGCACAAAAGTTATTGTTGTCTCCTCTGGCTCCCATCGTAATGAAACACACGCTACATAATTCAAAGCCTAGACAAAGCACTAAGCTGTGAAACGATTCTCCAACAGTCACTGAGACCTGTGAGAGCAAAGCTTGAAGAGAAGAAAGAACAACCCCACATGTAAATTGAAGCTGCGGAGTTCTCTATGCTGGGAACAATATTTGTGAAATGTGGTCTACAAAAGGCTGAAAAAGGTGTAAGAGCCCTCAAATACCCATCGGCAATGCTGTAGTCATTTTTTTCTCTCTCTGATTTTAGTAACAGTTTTTCTTAAGCAGAGTCTGCTGTCGAAAGCTCCCTAGGATGCACTGAACATTTTTTTCTTCTCCATGCATTTAATTTGTTTCAGAATGTTTCCTTGAAATTTCTTTTTAAAGTACGCACTCGCTCTGTGCAGAATCTGGGAGCGAACGTCACTTGTGGGAACAGGGTGTCTTATTCCATGAAGAAGGCTTTCCTTTGAAGCTTCTGCTATCATTCATGCTGTCCTTGGCTTTTTCCCCTGCACAGTCCTTCTCTGCTGATCTCTGTGCTACATTGTTTCCTGGTCTTGAGGGTCATGTACCGTTAGCCCAAGGGGAGAGTTGACCTGGAGCAGGAAAAGGTCAATGTTTTGCATTCAGAAGCCAAGAAATTCACCTTCAAGTGGTTGCTTCCTGAGTGTGGCTCCCAAGAGCTTCTCAGAAATCACTTCAAAGCTTCATTTGAGTTTTCTAGTAGGCTGCATTTAATATTTACGATTGTCACTTGTTAATAGCTCGTTCTGCCTTGATTTTGAGTGGTTGGATGTCTTTTTGCTTTTTGTCCTTTGAAAACATACTATCTGGGGTAGCATGTACCTGTGCACACTGCTAGTCTTGTAAGCATTAGAACCTGAGTTTAGTCCCCCAGAACTGTTGTGGTAACTTGCATTCATAATCCCAGAACTAGGGAGGCAGAAACAGAAGGATCCCTGGAGATGGCTGGCCAGCCAGCCGCACCTACATGGCCAGTTCAAGGCCAATGGAAAACCCTATCTTACAAGGTAGAAGTTACTTGAGGAACTGCATACTGAGAACAACAGCCAAGGTTGTCCTCCACATGTACTTACAAACATCCCTGCAATTCTACATACGTGTACTTGTGCGGAGATGGATACCTTTTACACACAAAACCAAAACGACGGAAAAAACATCGTCTCCTCTCTAATGAAAAATGAACTGATAAGCAACAAAACAGCAAATTCCTGTAAAATTCCAACTGGAACGGGGTGATGAGAGCACCCTCCATCGGAGGCTCAGTTGCAGCCTAAGAACAGAATATGGAGAAGAAGTCTGTGTAGTCTAGGCTTTGGTCAGGATGACAGTTTATCATTTTAAGGGACTACCTATAATGTGAGGCGGTGTTATTGTTTGCTATTTCCTGCTCTCTCTCAGTTCCCCGTGTTTACCTTGTCTCCCCTCTTTCCCCAGCATCCTTTGACAATGATAATGCTCTTCTCCGGGGACCTCTATAGTCTTCTGAATTTCCTCAGTTTTGCCAGGTGGCTTTTTATGGGGCTGGCAGTTGCTGGACTGATTTATCTTCGATACAAACGCCCAGATATGCATCGTCCTTTCAAGGTAACCTCAGCCATTTTTGATGGGTTTACATAAATCTCTCTCCTAATACCTAGACCTCCTTTTGTCATAACTTGATGATGGGGAGATTGGGCGGGGCAGGGTCCTGCAGAGTAAAAAATTTAACTCTTGCTTTCTGTTGCACTTCACTTGGGGAAATTATATGCATTTTCACGTATGATAGAGTGAGTTTGTCACAGATTTTATTTGTTGAGAATAGACAGTGTCAAAGATACTTTTCACGTTGGATTTTCATGCATGGCTTGGGTATGTTCAGAGGGTGGGATAGCTCTGTCTTGATACTAAATGGATGCAAGCAGCTGGGCTGTGAAAGAACAAGTACTTCATTAATGAAAACTCTAAGGGAAGGCAGAGAAGGGTGCTGCTTTACAGGTTAGGTATTTTAGTCCTTATTGTAACTTGTTAGCTCTGTGGCAATTTCCCCCCTACATACTCTAAAGCAACAATTCTCCACCTCTGAGTCTGGACCCCTTTGGGAATGACCTTTTCTTTCACAGGGGTTGCCAAAGACCATTAAAAAAGAAAAAAAAAAACCCACAGATATTTACATTACAATTTATTTTTCCTCTTTTTATTATTGCTTTTTTTTTTCCAACTTATTCACTTTTTATCCTGGTTTTCGCCCCCTCCTTCATCTCCTCCCATCTGCCTCCCTCTTCCTCCCCTATCCCTCTCCCCTTGTCTACTGATAAGGGAAGTCCTCCTCCCCTACTATCTCCCCCTAGCCTATCAGGTCCCATCAGGACTGCCTGGCTCCTCTTCCTCTGTGGGCTGGCTAGGTCTCCCTACCAGGGAGACGTGATCATTGAACAGGCAACCAAGCTCATGTCAGAGACTGTCTCTTCTCCCCTTACTAGAGAACCCACATGGGTTCTCTAGACAGCCCACTGTCTATGGGCTACATCTGAACAGGGGGTCGAGGTTCTCTCTAGGCATAATCTTTGGTTGATGTATCAGTCTCTGTCGTCTCCCCTGGGCCCAGCATTTTTTGGCATTGTTGGTTTCCTTGTGGGACTCCTGTCCCCTCCTATATTACAGTTTGTAATAGTATCAAAATTATAGTTATGAAGTAGCGGTGAAAATAACTTTATGGCTGGGGGGTCACCACAACATGAGGAACTGTATTAAAGGGTTGTAGACTCAGAAGGTTGAGAACCGTGCTCTAAAGAAATATGAAATACCAAAGAAAAGTAGTATGACCATTTACTATAACCGCCATTTTCCTTTGGGAGGACTGGAGAACAGCCTTGTTACGAGCCTCAGATGCCCCTGGGTCAATGTGATCTCACTGTTTATTTGCTTTGAAGACATAGCACAGATAATGCTGCCAGTCATGTTATCGGGATTTGTTTCTAATTGTATTCATTGCCACAGCTTGCAGCATCTTTATTAGCCTTTGACTAGGAGTTGGCCTGCTTTATTCCCATCGGGCCTTATTGTGACTCTCAACAGGAAATCAATATTCCCTGAGAGGTTTTAACACGTGGCAAAGCCACTGGTGCTCTTGACTCCAAGTGAAAGTGGGTTCTAATAATTACCAAAGACCAATCTTTTTTTTATATAAATTTTTTTTTAATTTTATTTTTTTCTTACCAATTACATTTTATTAACTCTGTATCCCAGCCATGTCCCGATCCCTCATTCCCTCCCAGTCCCTCCCTCATCTCCATCGTGCCCCTTTCCAAGTCCACTGATAGGGGGGACCTCCTCCCCATTCATCTGATCCTGTTTTATCAGGTATCTTCAGGACTGGCTGCAAAGCTCTCCTCTGTGGCCTAACAGGACTGCTCCTCCCTTGGGGGGTGGGGAGGCCAAAGAGCCAGTCATTGAGTTCCTGTTAGAAATAGTCCTTGTTCCCCTCACTATGGGAAACCAATTGGTTACTGAGCTACCACAGGCTACATCTGAGCAGAAGTTCTAGGTTATATCCATACATGGTCCTTGGTTGAATGTAAAGACCAATCTTTTAAGATGAAAAAAACGTAGATTATAATGATACTTCACTAGTACAGAAATTTGAATAGATCATCTACTAGGAAGCACATTTTCCTACGTGTGATTTAAATATTCTAAAACAAGTCAAGAAACTGCACTAGCGCATGCTCTGTGATGACCTGGCCACATGACTGATGTTCTCCACCCCTGGTCTCTTGAACTTGTGTGACGCTGCTGTTTTCCATTGGCTATGTTTCAGGTACCCCTGTTCATCCCAGCTCTGTTCTCCTTCACCTGTCTCTTCATGGTTGTCCTCTCCCTTTACTCGGACCCATTTAGCACTGGGGTCGGCTTCCTTATCACGTTGACCGGGGTCCCTGCTTACTACATCTTCATTATATGGGACAAGAAACCCCAGTGGTTCAGACAGTTGTCAGGTAAGACTTTTAAGCATCTTGGACCTGGTGAGAGACTGTGTTATAGACACCCATAAAGGTGTGCACATGGAATACTCATCTCTTAAAGAGGAAAGCTCCAAGTGGTACAATGGTCAGTTAAAGTCAATGATGACGTTGTAACTGCAGCCAATGGGAGAACGACAGGAAGGACATGTAGAGTGCAGCTGTTGAATCCTATTGGGTATTTAATTCGGGTGGCTGTAATCTCTGTCATTTTAGAGAAAGAATAGCTTCTTTAGGAATAAATTTTTTCAGTACTGTAAATATCCTCACTGCTCCTTTGAATCCCCATAGTGACATAATGATTGTTCTTTTTGGTTGATTACAGTCTAGTGGCTGTCATAACATTAGATTGACCAATGGTGTGAGATTTGTTGGGGACTGATGTGGAAGCCTGCAAATGTCTTAAACATCATGGCTGTAATATTACCTACCTTGCTAGGAAAAGCAAGCTGCAGAGGTTTCTGGTAACAGCAAAACACAATGATGAGAATAGCAGCTCACATTTCCTGTGTAGTTTCTATATGTTTGCATATGTGTGACCACGTTCCCTCAATCACCATTTGAGGTGGTAGAAGCCATTGTTCACATTATGTAGACTTAGAGTTATGTCATTAGAGCATTCATGTAACTCTGACAAGTCACATGGATGTAAGAAAAGAGCCAGGACTCAAATTCAAACGATTGCCTTTGAAAGACAATACTGGACACTGAGAATGGAAGAGAGTAGATTGAGGCTGAAGATAGAGAAAGGACATGGGTGGCTTCTCTATGGATATTGATGAGAGTTGGGGAATATCTGAGTGTGGGTCCCATTAGCAGGACCAAGAGGAAGTGAAAAGCATTAAGAAGGAAAAGCTAGTTCAACTTGGTAACCAGTTAGGATGTGGAGGAGCAAATACAGAAGGACAGAAGGTGGTTTGGATGAGCTGCGGTGTCAGGAGAGCTCATGAGCTCTTTCCCACCTTCACCATCTCAGATCTTTTCTCAGGACACAGGTCCCAGATTCTGTTTTCCCCACCCAGGTTAGGATGCCAGGACTCAGCCAGAGGGAGAATTTACAATTGGGTGTACAGAGTCTTGAGCCTGACATCTAGGGTTTGAACTCATATTTGCTGGACACCAAAATCCACCGAGTTAGAGTCTTACTACCATGACAAAAATATCAGACCAAAAAGAATTTAGGAGAAGAAACATTTATTTGGGCTCTGGTTTCAAAAGTTTCATTCCATGCATCTTCATGGTTGTCCTTTCCCTTTATAGGACCCTCTAGTAGCGGGATTTGTTTCATTACTACTCTGACTGTGATGGCTCTATTGCTTTTAGAGCCCAAGGAGTACCTGATGAGGCGAAGCTGTAGCCAGGAAATGGAAATCCACAGAGCAAGGGACTAGGGTTAAAAAGAAATACCTTTTTAATGCAGTCCTCAATAACTGATTTCCTCCAAACAAACCCAGCTTCAAGTGGCAAATTCAGCAAAACACTCATCAGTGGATTAATCCTGGTGGCCTTTGGCACAGGAAGGGCACATCATTGTAAATAAAAAATGTCCTCATTTAAGTCATTTTTAAACCTGGTATTTTGTTGTAGTGACATGGGCTAAGTCACACCAAATATAGTTTACAAAGCAGATATGCTGTTGTTAGTGGGTCTGGTGAGTTTGGGATACAAATTCCTCTTTGGTTTGTATTTGGTCTTAATTTACTTAGTTTACCATGACTAATCTTAAAAATCCAAGGGAGGGCGCTGTCTTGAAGCTCTACCTTCATGAAATCGCAACAGTATGGTCACCTAAACAAGACTTGCAGAATGACAACACAGGTGACATGTCAAGGTGATAGAGGGAATCCCCAAGGCCTCACCCCTAGGTGAAGAGACACAGGTAAACAATGGCTGGTGAAAAAGGATCATCCTTTCTTCTGGTCCAAGCCCCATTATAGGTTATCCAATCCCGCGTGGTCAGCCCTATATAGACAAACAAACCATCAACGTTATATGGACTCAGTATGTTACACACATATGTATAAAAATGATCATCAAAAAATAATTCATAAATTTGAAAGAGTTGGGACATGGTAGGAGTTCGTTGTTAGAGAAGAAGGTTAGAAATAATGTAAGTATAGTACTTACTATATGTGAAATTCTCAAAATGTAAAGATTTAAATTGAAAGTCTAGCGATTTAGTGGGAAAATGTCAACAAGAAAAAAATATATGTATCTAATCTCTAATATATTGCAAGAACAAATTTACACTCATTTAAAACCGTTCTGCGCTGACTCTTTGAACTGACGTTTGGCATCATCAGATTTTTCTACCATTATTTCTACTTGGGCTTTACTTTTTAACTGGCAACACTATTCCTGAAAGAAATGTTGCTATGTAAATTAGGATTTCAACTCTATCAGAAATACACTGATTAACTGAGCACATAATCTCTGTATCCTGCAAAGCTGTGTTTAATTTTTTATAGATTATATTTAGTTAGGTTTTCTCTATTAGAGACACTGACTATGATCCTGTGAAGGGAGGAGGAGTTCCGTTAAGTTATTTGCATTTAGGTCTGAGTTAGGCATCATCTCTGAGACTGAGGTACACAGAGAGCTAGGGGCCTTAAGCATGGCAGAAAGCTAACACCTAGAAGAGTGAGCCAACAGCCTTTCAGAGGGAGCATGAGTGAACAGAGGGGAAGTTCATCATTTTGTCCCACCCGGAAGGCGTTCTGTCCTTCCCTGTGCAGTCAGCCAGTTCTAGCCAGTCTCTCTTCACGCTAATGCAGGTGTGCTCCCGGCCACACTGTCAGTTCAGATCAGGCTTTTTCATATGTGAGCTTTCTTTGTTGCCCTTCTTTGCTCAGGTAATTTTGGAGGTTTTGCTACGTTTCTGCATCTAATGATGTTTTGAACATCTCCAAGGTCTCTGCAGTTAGTGTCAGCCACTGGTGGAACGAACTGTGGTGGAGAAAAGTCAGGATGGTTGTTGGGTCTCGGGGAAGCTGTCACCTCTTACCAGGGATACAGCCGAACATTCTGCTTTAAACTGTGATCACTGCCGCTCTTTATCTTTATAGACAATTTGAAAGGGAGTGGGGGAAAACAGCAGTCCCCTGGGATTCTGTTTGATTTTCCTCTTAGGCAATGTTCTTGTAGTAAAATAAAGAAAATTCATAATATGTATTACTGCAGTAGCAAGTATTTTCTTAGCCTTTGACCAAAACAAAACACACAGACAAAACAAGAGAGTCCTACAGCAGTACCCGACCCTTTCCCCAAAGACAGACTTTCTGTCAGAGAGAAAGCTTCCTGTGAGCTTGAAGGAAGGAGAGCCTTGCTCGGAGCAGCTTGTTCAGTTGTTAACTATCATGTTGCTTTCCTTGGTAAAATTCTCTAGTTGTGTTGTTATGTTATGTTATGTTATGTTATGTTATGTTATGTTATGTTATGTTATGTTATGTTATGTTATGTTAT